GAAAACGCAAAATCTGTCAACTGAAACGCTGACACCCCTGTAATTCAACGAATTTATTTTACTCATAGTAACTGAGGTATCAATAAATTGGTCTATATTGAGCATTTAAATAGTACCACATAGTCAATGGTCATTGCAAACATTATATCACTAAATCGTTGGTCAGAGCTAAACTCATATCACAACATCACTTGTAACAATTAAACTAATTTAAAATAATCACTTGTCACAATTAAACTAAAATCAATGAAACCAGTAGTCACTGTGAAACTGATATCACAAAATCACCCGTGACTGTGAAACTGATATCACAAAATCACCCGTGACTGTGAAACTAAAATCATTTTATCACTAGTCCTAATTAAACTGATATCACAAAATCACCCGACACTGTGAAACTGATATCACAAAATCACCCGTCACTGTGAAACTGATATCAAAAAATCACCCGTCACTGTGAAACTGATATCACAAAGTCACCCGTCACTGTGAAACTGATATCACAAAATCTCCCGTCACTGTGAAACTGATATCACAAAATCACCCGTCACTGTGAAACTATAATCATTTAATCACTAGTTCTAATTAAACTGATATCACAAAATCACCCGTCACTGTGAAACTAAAATCATTTTATCACTAGTCCTAATTAAACTGATATCACAAAATCACCCGTCACTTTGAAACTAAATAATTTTATCACTAGTCCTAATTAAACTGGTATCACAAAATCACCCATCACTGTGAAACTAAAATCATTAAATCACTAGTCCTAATTAAACTGATATTACCAAAACAACTCGTCACTTTAACACTGGAATCAAATAATCACTACGATCAAAACTTCTGTCGTCACTATAAAACTGACATAAAATAGCCAGTAGTTACAATAAAACTGATATTTTTTAAACTGATAATCATAAGTCACAATACAACTTCTGTCACAAAAAACTGTCACTGTAAAACAGGAATCAAATAATCACTAGTCACAATCAAACTAAAGTAAAGCAATCATTGGTCACAATAAAAGTGATATCACATAACAATAGTCACGATACAACTGTTATCACATAATAACTACCCAGTATAAACTTGTACATTGTATCACAAAACCACGAGTCGAAATATAACCGACATTAAATAATCACTAGAAGTAGAAGAAGGGGCCTCCATGAACAGAAACACTAATATAGTGTTACCGAACGGATTGTATCCGAACAAAATAAAATGTGTATTCTCTAGATATATGTCGATGGTTTAGAGAATCATGATATCATCATGTTAAATCTTTAAAACTGCAATTCACTACATGAGATGTGTTATGATTATTGTTAACAATTCACTACATTAGATGCGTTAAGATTATTGTTACCAATTCACTACATGAGATGTGTTAAGATTATTGTTAACAATTCACTACATTAGATGTGTTAAGCTTATTGTTAACAATTCACTACATTAGATGTGTTAAGATTATTGTTAACAATTCACTACATTAGATGCGTTAAGATTATTGTTAACAATTCACTACATGAGATGTGTTATGATTATTGTTAACAATTCACTACATTAGATGTGTTATGATTATTGTTAACAATTCACTACATTAGATGTGTTAAGATTATTGTTAACAATTCACTACATGAGATATGTTAAGATTATTGTTAACAATTCACTACATGAGATGTGTTAAGACTATTGTTAAAATTTCAATACATACACTTTTTTCAGAGAGTGTAATGGATGGTATTGCAATGGACGTAAATTCCCGCCTAATATTCTATACTGACACTGGATATGACGAAATCGGAGTTATAAACGCAGACACTTTCGTAAAAACGATTGTGATCGATACCAATATGGATGAGCCAAGAGCCATTGTGTTGGATACACAAACAAGGTGAAATGAGTTGTATGGTTATGGATTTAAAAGTCTCTCTTGCGCACTGTTGACCAATGACCAACTTTTAATCTTATCATCTTCCACAATTTATTACTGCAATTTCCAGACTATTCATATCTTGATGTGTTAGTATAGTAATCCATTTTGTGGTTTCTGTCCGCTACATATATAATATTTTTCCCAATGAAGTACTATTTCGAGACCATGATATACGTATCGGCTTCCAATGTGTTAAGATAAATAATGTATAGTTTTGTGTAACAGTTTTTTGTTGGCATATAATTGATCTATAATTTGGATGTATCGATGATATATTTGTATATCTTTGTTGCTATTTGTATCTAAGTTTAAGTTTGTATTTTTGCTACATTGATGGTACAGTGTAAGTGTAGTATTTATATTATGCTAACGAATCGGTTTTACATTTAGTACGTTAATGGCTTATTGTTTTCCTGTTTCTAAATTGTGAACACAATTGCTTGGCAGGGAAATGTTCTGGACAGACTGGGGAGCCAATGCCACGATTGAAAAATCGAATTACGACGGTTCCAACAGGACAACAATTGTCAGTACCGGGCTGGGCTGGCCAAACGCTATGGTACTCGATGGTAAGAAATTAAATATATGCTGATATTCTACGAATAGTGTTAACATTTCAAACTTCGGGTCGGTAATTGCAGTAAAAGTGAACATGAAATAATAATGAGAAAACTGCTACAGTTACAGGAATAAAGTATGAGTTTGTGGTTATCACTGCAGGTGATCTGTTGATATGGTGTGATGCTATGAAAGACGTCTACGAACGAGTGCATCGTAACGGCACGGGAAGGACTTTATTAGCAACACTGTCTGGCAGCCATTGCTTTGATTTCACTATCTATGAAGACGATTTGTATGTTAACGATTGGGCATATTCGTAAGTAATGATTCCATTATTTGCTCAACGCAATTTGCTACCATTAGACCATCCAAAGTATTACACTCGTAAAAAGTTGATACATAAGTATCCCTGTAAACGTTGTATAATTACTGATGGTGAACAATTCTATAATCAGCAAATTGTCGGATAACGATATCCCTTAAGCAGCAAACGATATATAATCCGTCAGGTACATTTACCTAATGCTATAATTCACAGTATGCAAAACGTGAAAAGCGTGTTATTACGATATACATGTTTTAGTGATAATCCTTTAAATTAGAACCCTTTCGCTGTAGATTGAGCTTTTTTCGCACACATGAATTCGGTTTTGATAGATTACATGTATTCACAAAATTGCCTAAACACTAGAGGTTTAAGGTGTTGAAACTTTGAGGGATGTCAGATATGAAAGTGAATTAACACTGATAAAATATCTGGATCGAAACTTGATAGGTATTGGTTTGGTTTGGTTTAGTATTGTTTAATGTCCTATCAACAGCTATGGTCATTTAAGGACGGCCTCCCCTGTGTGCAAGATGCATGGGTGTATTGTATGCGTGTGTTTTGCAATATGTTCGTGTTTGTGATAGCTCGGACCTGATGTCGACTTTATAGTGCTACCTCACTGAAAAATACTGCCAAAAATACCCAGCAGGACACCCAACCCGGTCACATTATACTGACAATGGGCGAACCAGTCGTCCCACTCTGAAATTGCTGAGCGTTAAGCAGGTGTAGAAGCTACCATTTTTAAAAACTCCGGTATGTCTCGGCCAGGGGACAGAACCCAAAGCCTTCCACATAGGGGCGAACGCTCAACTAAAGGCCAAAAGTGAGGCATTATCAAGGGAGACATTAGGAAGAAGAAAGTTGTTAAGAAAGAAGAGAAAAAATAAGATCCCAAATTTAGTCGCCTCTTCCGATCATGCAATGGGGGCAGCAGGTACAGTTCTTACGCCCCACCTGCACGGAGAAATTGGAAATATTGATAACTGAATCCACTGTGACTATTTATAACATGTGTGCCTTACGTTGCAAGAGCAACCACACAAACCACCGTCACCCTTGTCACAAAACATATCTTACTCGGCACATGCAGCCTTGTTACTGTAAGATGCCTAACGAGATGAACTGTTGTTCACAACCTTTCGCTCGCTGTGTAGATGCAGCTGTTTATATTTAAGGCTTCACGGCATACTGTTCCCGAACAAAAAAGTCTGTCATATCAGTTAAGATTCTCTGGCCATCCTTGACTGTAAGCTTGCAGAAGTGCTCCTACTTAATTAAAAGGAAAATTCCATGGTCAACTCAATACAAAGTATATCATAGAGCATCACCCCACATCTACTGCAAAGCACAGTCCATCAATCAATACAAATCAATCGCTCAGTGTTCGTTCACGCCGTAGCTTATTGACTGAGAACCAGGCATGTGTATAAGAAACGCGGTGACCAGTCCCATCTAGCAGACGACATATACAGTTGTATTGTAACACATGCTATGAATCCGCGCGTGTGCTACTTTCAGCAACTTGTACTAATAATATACCTTAAAAGTTACACTTTAGTTAATAACCAGAGTACCAATTACAATAAGTTCATTTCATGAAAATTAAATAACAATTGTATCATGATGTACTATCACAAAAAAATATTTAGATCATAAATGCGATTACAAGCTAAACCTCGACATACAGACTAGGTTGTGATAAGGCGGTATATAAGAACATCGAATAACAGTCTCTGGACTATATCTTTGAAATCATTCACATTCTGTAGAAATGGGTGGATTTTAACCAAATCCGGTCTAGACCCACCGTGGAGTTTTATATGCAAAACAAACTCAGTACTCAGCCCTAGAATGTTTGTGATTTGCCATGTAGGATCTGTCCTAGCGCAGGCACAACAATAGAGAATTTCACTGTATTTTTATTCCATTTTTGAATAAAACTGACGACAATTGTAAAAGGTACCACATGATACGGGGTAGCTCATTTGATTGTTAACGATAGTGAAATGATCGGAGATCAAGGGTCGTCCTTTTCTAACGTTGTTGGATTCACTGAGAACGCTGTTGGGGAATTTTTCCTCATTTACAAAAGCCTGCGACATGTCGGGAAAATAGTTCTGAATGCATATAGTTACACTATTTGACAGTGGCACAGGGATCCTAAAATGTATTTTTACTTTTTACTACCATAAAATATAATTACTTACAATATAACCCCCTTCAATACGCTCTTTTAAACATTCTTTTATCATGATAAAACAAATAATAAGGTGTTCGTTTACAGGCAAGTCCTATTTCCTATTTAATGTTGGATTTTTCAAAACTTCACTTCATACACATCTTATAGTGATCTTAATGCTGTCACAGATTGCACAAGGCTGTTTTCTATTTAAAGTTATAGCTGTTATTGATCACATCACGTTTATATAACTGTCATGTGCATACATTCAAGTCTGTGCATTTTATGCTCCAGACATTTTTTATTTAATTTGAAGTTTTTGACTTATTTGGTTTGAACACTTAACTACAGTGTACAAGTATTAAGGTACACGTTACCTCAGCAACAGTATGATCGCTCAGAAAATGATTTCTACTCAACTTGTTTGAAGTTATCTCCCTTATTATACCGCAGATGATGCAGTAGTTATCTTTTTTGGGGCTAAAACAACTTGCTCATTTTTATTTTCATATACATTGCAAACCATACCTTGGGTTTTCATGTAGGTGCTTTTTATTTATAATCCCTGGAAAGCAACGATGTTTAAATGTAGACTTGGCATTGTTAACTTCCTGAGTTTGATGCTATAGGTTTTTCTTTTTTCTTTCTATTCTTATTTTTTATTTAATTTTTCCGAACGTTTGACTTTGAAATACTCATTATTTCACCGCAACATGTGTTATTATTGAATACTTCTTTTGAAAGGGACCTAGACAAACATTTTACAGTAGTGACAATAGTAAACATATGATTCATATTATTGGTATGTTTTACATTGACACCGTTACTGTAATAGTCAATCCATGTGTCTGTATTAATCTATCAGTCTCTGGCCCTCTCTCTTTCCTTCTTGCAAACGAAATTTACCGCAACCAAACGATATTAATTACATGTTTTAATAAACAGCGTGTGGGCCCTGTCTATAATCAGCGCGTTATACGTATTGGTTTCTAAACAAATATGTTTTATTTTCACAGATATGTAGTTAAAGTTAGAACAGACGGCACTCAGGCTTCGTTCTATGGGCCATCGGTATCTCAACGATTCGGAATATTTCATTACATAAAAGGTAAATAATATCAATGGATTCATAATCACAAAATCTACAATTACCATCAAAATATAATCAACTGTTGTTAATTCCTAGTCCATTTACAAATGGATTTATAAAATGCAAATAACTTTTCGGTAGAGTTTATTATTGTTCCCCCTTTTTCATTGGTTTTCTTTATGAATAATGAATCAATAAATGTTACTATCAATAAAACAAACTTTATTATAAGTTTATTTCAATACTCCAAGTGTCCAGTTTCTTACAAACTACTGCGCTCATCCGATACTTGTTCTTATGACTGTATTTGTATGCATTGTTCTGATTCTTTAATTTAATTATTACTTACAATTTTACTGTATCTGCGTTTGAAGCATGTTAGAGATATTCTGTTACTATAATCATGATGATATAATTGCCAAGTATGATAACATTTCTACGAGTTATGACATTTCACTGAATACACGCGAAATACATAGAATATTGCGAATCATACATTGTAGATTAATCTAAATATTGAATGTACTATGACGCTTCTATCAATTGATTATGTAAACATGCTTTGTTTTGAACGGTACTATATTTACTGCGCACATATATGCAATATTACACTTTGCTTTGCATGCAATGTTTTGTTATGGCATTTGTCATCACCTTGCCTTATATAAGTCCGAACAACATAGTTAAAAGGTATATTATTTTCATATATCACTGATGAAATACCTAGCATTATCAAGGTTGGTTTTCTTTCAGCGCTTATGTAATTGGACGTGGGATTCATTTTCAGTTGTATCGTTGTTATCGTCACAAAGGTGTATATTTTCAAAACAATGAATGTTTTTTGTGTGTATTGGTATTTTTTATCGTTAAATTTGAATTGATGTGTATTGGATACCAGTACTCTTGCAAACAATGTATATTATATGTATATTCTACCACAAACAACCAATGATATTTTCCTAAAACTTGAAACAAACATTGTGCATGACGGTAACCGACGGAAAGCCGTGAGCAGATTTCTGGAACTACAGTACAAAGGGGTATGTACATGCGCGTACGTTCAGGTCAACACTACTAAATGACATGTTAGCAGGAATTACATCTGAAATGTGATTCATGACTAAATTTTAGGTAAGGAAAGAACAAAAGAAGATAATGCCCTTGGTCGAAACATTATTGTTTATGTATTTGGCGAGAGGGAAAAACGCCCATGCCATATACATTCAAATTGCAAGGGACTACTTTTGTTTTGCTTTGAGTGGCTTGACATTCTAGAACCTTTAAATTACATTGTAGATGCAACATACAAAATATATTTACATTCTAGTCTAGATTAATCGTCAATTAAGTGTCCAAATTCAAAATGAATTATTCAAAATGGTAGATATAAGCTTGAAATCAAATGAGTAGATGTTAAAAAAAAGTTTTGATTGAAATTCCGTTTTGCTATAGTGGAAAATATAATGAAATATTCGGCTTTGCAGGTGAACTATGAGACCACAAAAAAAACACCTAAGGTACAATTCAATGATTTGGCAATCAGGATGCGGAAAATGTGTAAGTCATATGATAGATTATTAAAAAGCCAATATTTTAAAACATTTGTAACACATTCATGGTGTTATCTTCATTTATTTAATCCAATTTGTAGCTCTTAAGAATGCAATATTCTATACAAGGTTTTTTTAAAAACTGCTGCCGAAAGCCATAAACATTAAACACTTTTTCCTCTGCAATTATATATACATGTTTATAAGTATCATTATATTTTTCATTTAGAAATGGCTTCATGAAATCCTTGTGTGTAATCTCGACCAAGACCTGGCTACAGAAATGACACAAGAGGGGAGGTAACTATTGACCATTGGTCACTTTGGTCATGAGATAAAGTGATATTATTGAAAGGCAGCATTTCACTTCTTGATTTATATAAACAAAGAAACATGTTAAGAACTTCAACGAATTTTATTTCATTATGCCTTTCATATTCCTAATGTCCTGTTTTAATATCCTCCTCTATATTTCCTAATGTCTTTATTCTAGATACGATTTAAAGATGTCTCCTGTTTTGTTGTTGCTGTTTTTTGTAAAAACCAATGCGTTGAAATTTTTTAAAATAATTGTAAACATATTAACATGTTTTTCGTACAAATTAAGGACCGAACTAAAACCAGTCAAAATAAATAATGATGTAAAATATTTTTCTACAATATCTTGCTTTCATCATGGCTGACAAGTGATAACAGGAAGTTAATTTAACCGTATTCATAATTGCTGTAAAAAAAACAATATTTAATCAAAATAGCATGAGTTATAACTTTGGTTAAATATTTTTCATTCACAAGTTATGGTATACAGTTCTTTCGTAAATGTTCCACTTAAATATAATACATTTACATATAATGTTAGTAGCGGAGTGAAATAATTTCATCAACCATCTTACTTCACCACAGTATATGATTTACGGTAATACGCTTTCTTACTTATTTTAATTTGCCTTTTACTTGTTTAAATAAAATTCTCAATATATAACAAATCGTTTTACAGATTATAAGGGTTCTATAGACTACAGAGTAACTGCCTTTATCATAAACCTGTTGCAAATTCCCATGTCTAATTTGAGAAGCAAGGTGTTGTGACCAGTCGAGTTATAAATTGTTTAAATACTCCCATACTAGAACAGAAAAGAGTGTTGCAGACATTTGCCAAATCAAGTACATATAATGTATGACATATTTGATGATATAAAGAGATTTACGCGTGAATAAAATTACATACGAGAAATCAATTATTGACTTCATATTCGGACCATCCGTGTTTACGGGCCTGGTCTTAGCAGTATTAATTTAGAACCCCATAAGAATTCCATAATTCCATAATTTTACGAAAACGCGCACACTATACCATTATACTCTATTATTACGACTTTGAAAGCTACTTTTTCTTGATAAAATATATCAGATTTCCCTGCTTATGGGTGTTTTAATGTATTTCGAGTATCATGTTTTTTAATTCGTAGTTTCAACCATAGACGAATCAACCCACGCCAGAGAAATGTTACAAGTCTCGGTTCTGGACTTAATTCCAAAATCTTGGGAAGTATGTCTTTATCAAAATAGGTACGTACGATTTCCTCTCTTATGATCATATATCTATATAATGTAATTGACTTGAAAAAGAAGAAGAAAAGAACACAGAGGTGTAAAAAAATGTAATTCGAACTCAAAATCGATAAAACTGGGGAAAGGAATGAACAAAGTAAAGATGTATATCGAGACAAAGTTTAAGAAGAAGAATACCAGGAGTTCCGGAAGGTGAAAGTTATCTGCTTTATGGACGACACCTTCCATGCAAATGTATGTCATATATAAAAATAATGTCAAGTCCTGAAAGCCGAAGTAATCAAAACGAAATAAAAAGGCACAATAATAAATATAAACAAAAATATCGACATTCATATTACACAACAAAATATAAATGATTCTCATTTAGATATATTAACATTTGCGCTGCAACCCTCTATATGAATCCTACCAACAGAAATGCATTTCATTTGAGTACGATAGCAAAACCTCTCGTGACGTAACACGTGGTTTATAACATCATAGATTAACCATGTTCAATGAGAGTCTTGTCGCTTCGCTTCGGATAAAATGCCCATGCGTCGAACGCTCAAATGACTACAACTAATTATTGGCGGTAATTTTATCTGAATAGGGCTGTTCCGCCTATGTCGTTTTAAGGACGACGCATACATAAAATGTAATAAAGTACTTAATAATTTAAGAACAAACAAATATAATTAAATATTTGTTAAATAGTAAAAATGTAAATATAGGGATTGAACGGCGTTTTTAAAATGTTCATGCTGGTATGAACGCAAATCTGTTGCATTATCAAACATGAAGTGCGGGCTTCATGCAATATGGACGTAACCGATTTGCGTTCATACCGGCATGAAAATTTAAAACACGCCGTTCAATCCCTATACCATGTTTATTAATTGTACGAAATTTGAAGTAAAAACCTCCAAAAAATGTCCGTACTATCATAAACGTGGTATACCACTGAAGTTGTTGCAGGACATAGCTCTTCTACAAATGCCACCCGACCCAGGATATATGAAAAATATACCCATTGACACAAAAGAGTCCTTGTGATCCTTGGAAAACTTGGGAATGAATTTTTTTCCGGTTTGGAAGTTTGTCATCCTGGTTCAAAATACGAGCCACCTTCTACCGACTTGGCGAGAGAGAATTTCTCTTAAGCTCCTTCTGTGGGGTGTTAAACTAGTAAACCAGAGATTCCTGGTTTGACGCCTACAGAAGTCATTGGGAAAATGTTGAACCCTGTTACATAAACTAATTTGTTCGTTCTTAAGGTACATATAAGCAAATTTAAACAGTTACATCTTGGACAGTGATCAAATATAATACATACATAAGTCTTCTCTCACTATCCTTATTCACGGCAGTTGTTCCCAACAGCACGAGAAGTGGTACAAATTGTGTCTGAAGGAAATGTATAAGTTGTTATGCATACTGATACACAAAAGAGCCATCTTGACAAACTTATTATTGTTAAATTTCGGTTTTAGTTTTCTAACTCTCACCATATTTTCACTTTTACTTAAACCAAACTCGTTGTTATTTATAGCACGCTTCTGGATTGATTAAACCTCAAAGTCCGGAAAAAATATTTTATTTTCCCAAATTTGAATTTGCGATTTTATCATATTTGCTTCACATAAACTTCTTCCTTCGAAAAAAATCGTATGCATTATTTTTTTCATTAAAACGATCATATTTGAAATACACTGACTTTCTTTTTCTGATTGACTTTTGTCCCTTTTGGGATTTTATTTTTTGCATAAATATACCTTTTTCTTAAATTTCGTATAAATATCGCTATCATATATCACTTATCAAGATAATATTATGTGAAAAGACGATGACACTTGTCTTAATAACCGGGATTAAGTGTATGCATAATGTAAAGCATACACCTTATTTCATATATGTTAGCTATTCGATGTATGATGCTACAACTGAATTGGTTCTTGACACATTAAGCATACGTTTAACACATGTAGAAAGCAAAGACGGATACACAGACCGTGTAACAAATCATTGTATCAGACTCCAGCACACTTTACAGGTATCGATAATTTTAAGTCGTAAGCTCTTAAGTTAGATGTTGATTAGAATGCAACAGCTTGAGTCTACGATCCGAGTCACACGAAAAATGCAATCTGTCCTGCATGAGATTTGAACTGGTGGTTAAACGGTTGCGTGTGAAGCGGTAGTCTTATCGTACTCACAAAGATAAGAAACCTTTACTGCCAATGACCGTCTGATATATGTGTCGACCATGGGGCTCGTAAGGTACATGTGTTTTGCCGTGGGAGGCCTATCTGTGACTATAATGTGTTGTTTATACAGCTTTGGACGTTACTATCAGGACGGTGAGTCTATACATATTAATGTTTGTACTGGTGTTAAAGGGTTTGTTTCGCTTAATTCTAAAACAGTCATTATTTGAAACAGTCTAATGTACAACAACAGTAGTTACAACAACAGATAATGATAATCGTAGGTACAAACTGCCCATATGCATTAACATGAATCTTCAAAAAGGGGATGCATATGTTCGAATATTACAAACAATGTACAGTTTTCGAAAATGAACATGGCATAAAAACAATCATAATGGAATGAAATGCAAAGGCTATTATGTTGTCTCATTCGTTCATTTATTTATATTATTTATACTAATATCAATATTCATAAATTTACCGATGTACCAGGTAAAGATTTAAACCTTGTTTTTTTATTTTATTTTATACTTAAATAAGATGCGAATAAATATGAGTATTTTATCTATATCATAAATACATAATTTGTTTTAAATTTTAATCTTTTGAACATATCACAAGTATTGAAGTCTGAATCCTGCTAATAACTTAACTACATATTTAAGGTTATCACACAACCACTACCCTACTTATTGGTGAATATCTGACCATGGCTACTCCACATTTTGATTTATATCAAGCTTACTCATCGGAATCATGACAATATCTATTTTCATATTTATTAAATATCAGGAATATTAAAACGTGCCTTGTAAGAGGAAATACTATCAGCTCTAAGCTTGTTGTTCAATCCCTGTGGAATTACATGCATATAACAACCTTGTCTGATTATAGAATAAAACACTGTTTAAACTAAATTAAACTAAGATGTGCCTGCATCATCATAAGTATCCTTCCAAGTGCGAAAAATCCTAACATAATAACGTCCCTAAATACCGATGAATGTTAGCAGAATATAGTCCATATTTGCGCTTCACTAGTGTTCTAGCTAAGTATGAAGATTAGCGAAAACCATATATATCGTTAATAGATATTTGGCGTTACCTCCAATTTTGGATAGCATCATTTCTATTGATATTATGTGATTCATCCTCAAATTCTATTTACCTTTGTATGATGTCAACGTCCAGTGTGAAAATGGCTTCATTTTATTCAGTTTTCTGCGTCACAAATACTTCGCCGATATATTATCGTTTTCTGAAGAATATCTTTTGTAATATTTGTGCTGTCAGATATATTGGTTGACTGGTAAGCTAATTGATTGATCGGATAAAAGCTAAGATCGTGGAATGTACAAGAGAGTAAGCCTTAACATTTGTCTCTATAATATAAATAGCACGTGATATCCATGACTTGCTCTTAAAGTTCGATAGTCTTGTCTTCCTCGCGTCCAATGCAGCCGTTTTCAGTTGTATAAGTACATTGTATTTTACCTTTCAATTTGGTGTCAACAGTTATGGACAGAACAGCACTGGATGAGTTCGAATCATGTATATATCGTCTAATGGTGATGATATAACCAATGGTTTGTTAAGTAATTTCCATAAAGTGAGACCTTGCATTCCTTTTAATCATCAATATCTTTCGGAATATGAGCAGATGCCAATGGTCAAAACTACATGATGCTACCCTTTTTCAATGATAAACATGTTTGCACTTAATCGACAAGAAACGAACTTCGTAGCAGTAAACCTTGTAAATGGGTTACTTCTGGGGAAGAGATAACTAAGTCCTAATTCGTTGCCTTTCTGTTTTTCGCATTTTGGTTCATCCGCCGTGTTCCATGGGGCAGTAAGTCCTCTTCATTTGTTTATAATGTACCAATATTTAGTCAATTGTCAAGACATTTGAGTATTTGAAAAAGAAGTTTTCACTGAACCGTAAATAAAATGCTTGATTTACACTGTTCATGATTTATTGTTATCACATCGGCATACCCGAGGAAACATGCATAAACTTTTTGTGAATGGTAATTATTCTTGTCCACATCTTTTCTCTATTTCAAAAACCATGCCGTGTAAAATATGAAGAGTTCGTGTAAACGTTACCTAACAGTTTGTTATAATAAACAGGGCTTGATTACAAATCATCGTTACGAAGACCTAGTATAAATAACAAAGCATTGTGAGACAGAATATAAAACTCATACATATGCATCATCTTTCCCTCTGTTTTTTTCAAATTAAATGAACTGTTCGATCTGTAGTTCTGTTACAAATTTATAGAAATATTGCCGATTGTCCCTATTTAGCTGTAAGAATGTGTATTTCATGAGGTAATATGAAACCTGTTACGTGAGTGTGAACACTGCATAGATGTGGAAATCATGCAGGTTAAGATATTTCAACTGCTAACCAGTAAATCATATTAATTTTATGTTAAAAAAATAGTTTTGCTGAAATGAAGGTTTCAAAACTAACCAAATCACTAAATATTGAACAATCAGAACTGTGTATGCTTGTTAATAGAAGTTTTGGTAACACATTCCCCCACCTCTTCGTGTCACAATATATTCAAGAAAAGAAACATGTTTGTATGCAAGGGGATTTAAAAACAACAATGCATCTGGCTTTCAATTGGCAACCGATAACTTTTCTATCTGTACCCATATTTTGGAATGACCTAGTAATGTAGCAAAACTGTTTCCTTTGTTGTGCTTTCCCTATCAACTCACAGAGTTTTCAACTGCTTTCCATCTTCCCATTTTTGTGATTATTTAACAAAGCTTATTTTGTTTCGATGTTTCAGGTAAATACATCGGATTCAAACAAGATAAGATGAAGACTCAATACAACGACTATCGTACAGGAATGAAAGATACATGGACAGATCGTATCCAACATTTACAGAAAGGATGTCATCAAACTGACCGAAAAGATCAATACAAAATTAAATACCAGCAAACCCAACCAATTTTCTTTCAGTCAATGAAACTGAATATAAGTGTTTGTAAAGTAGCCAAAGCCGGAAGTACATTTTGGGCGATAGTGTTTTTAATAGTAGAAAAGGGTTTACCGGCTTATGAAGCCTTTAGCATTCCAAGGCATAGGATTCACGGAATAAGCAGCAGTCTTAGTAAATCATTACATTCCAGCCATGAGCAACTGAGGACAAAGGGGGTTGTTGTTTCTCGTGACCCCTATTCAAGATTATTTTCAGCGTTCGTAGACAAATATCACTTATTAAGATTCGTACAAGCTGCTAGATCACTTGCGCAATCATTAGGAAAAGGATATTTTATAACTGAAGCCGGGAAATGTGGATACAAAGTTTCCTTTCAAGATTTTGTTGACAGTGTAACTACAAAAGCTCTACAGGGAAGCAAAATCAACCGCCATTGGAGTCCCGTTTACACTATGTGTAGGGTCTGTGATGTTGAATACCAGTATGCTATACAACAGGAGACATTGACTCGAGATACTGAATACATCATTAAACAGCTGAACATCAGTAACGAAATAAAAACAACACTGACACAGATGTTCCATGGACCTGGTCCGAATAAGACAATGGAAGGGGTCATACAAACAATGTGGAGTGCCATTGACAGCCCCGCGATGCGAGCATGTTGTAGCAACAAACTCGCCTACTTCATGAAAATGTGGGAGGGTTTCAAAATGCAGGGCTACATTAGAACAAACGTATCGTTTCCATTTTCATCATTTCAGAAGAATAACAGTGTTAACGTTGAAGGAATCACAAAGGCTGTTTTAGCAGCAATGAATACCAACCCTTTATCAAGTACAGAAAGAAAGGCTCAACGGAGACAAGCTTTAGTACAGGCCTATGCAGGCATGCCTAGACGTATCATAGCTCAAATCCAGGAAATGTACAGAATGGATTTTCATCTCTTTGGTTATGATGCTAATCCGCCTACTTAAATGGTTTTCAGATTTTAGTACGGATTGAGATTAAAAAATCGTGCAATTACGTTTCCGAAAACCGGTGTTATCTTGGCCTTTTCGAAATAAGGTGTTACATTGGCGTTTTTGTAAACTGGTGTTACACTGGCGTGTTTCAAAATAGGTGTTTTATAGGCGTTTTTCTTCTTGAAAACTTGTGTTACACAAATACCACTAATATTTTACTTGTATGACTGAATATCTCAAACTCTTGCTGCAATTTTAGTGAAAATGGGAAACATCAAATATCGTTTGATACATAACTAAACAGTAATGTATTGTTGTTTACATAGCGTATATAGCGAGAACGTAATCATGTCTACGTCACATGAATACGAATAAATTTAATTTGTTTTAAAAGCAACCTTCTAACGGCCTTCTAACGGCTATCATTGATAAAAAATTTTTTTTCATATGCATACTTTGGGATTATGCCATCATGATATGACACGAAATTAAGGTCAGCTTAGTGTCCATTCGGAGATATGAGGGGGTAAAATCGCCTCTTTTTGACAAAACGTTTTGAAAATTTCTACACCAGAAGGCCCAAACTACAACCCATCCCTTCAAATACACATGCTACTAGATAAACTATATAAACTAGATACGGAAAAGTATACCATATACTGAACTGAAAAATCACATTGTCTAACATGCATATTTAAACTTGATACAGATACATATGATTGTTATATAACACCATGATATAAGGTCATTTCAGTCCAATCTGATCGTATGTAAAATGTCTACAGTATACGGATATAATTTTCTATTTATAACACTCAAAATGTCCCACATATATATGTCACCTTTGATACTGATTATAATGGTTTGTCCATGAAGTAAATCGTTAAATCGTTGATATGTGTGATTTATGGTCACAATACAACTCTGACAATAATGCAAAGACGTATGCGAGTGTGTGTCTGTGCATAACATCAGCGTACAGATTGATAATTCTCAGATCACATTGAAAGATTCAAGTTTGTGATAAAAGCTTTATTACAGACTCTTTATCAATTGTGACATCAAAATAAATAAAAATTCTCACCTTAAAGCGTAGGTGTCCGAGTGTAATCAGCATATTATTAAAACGGTATGGGATTAATGAATATATGGATATAATCTGAGTAACTCGTCAATTGAGGAAGGACATATAGCTATTTGAAGCAAGTATAAAATATAAAAAGTACAACAGAAAACCATATATAGCACACAAAAAAACTCTAACCGAAATAATACCAGGAACCAAAAAAGTAACGTAGAAATAGCAAACATCTACAAAATGGAATACAGGGTTGTGTAAAGTTACATAGCTTAATAATTAGTTTCAGCAGCCCTTTCTGTCTGTCTAAACACCCAAAGGGTCATATGGAATGATCTCTTACCAGTTTCAACCATATCTTATTCCTACTGACTTATTTACAGTTAACCGATTACTTTATTGTGCTTTGTCGTCCGACATGTGGTGAGGATTAGAACCGCTCAGAAAGGAGTAGGGCGACGATGACACATGTACTGGTTATAAATGTGCTGCATACAGGCGACAGCTGTCGGTTCCGCATTGTGTTAATAATTCATATTTATTGATGATAATCACATTCGTCATTTAATGATACCATAGAAAGTTACTTTTTTAGAATCTGATTTATATATGATTTCTAAGAAGGTTTATGTTATTACTGTACCAAAAAAACCTGTAAAATTGTCATTGTGTGTGTGTGTATATCCCATACCAAACACTTTGCTTTGATTCAATAATGTTACAAACGAAAATGTCGAAATACTTTTGGAAATATTTTCCCCGATGCATTTAAATCATTTTGGACCGTGGCTGTACTACATTGTAAACAATAAATAGAGGGGCACAGAAACCGATGACGTAATTGTGTTGTTCATCGATAGATGGGCACAGAAACTGGTGATGTAATTGTGCCGTTCATCGACAACGACAGGATAAGGTCAGTTGTCATTGTAGAATCAATAAGTCATTGTAAATGCCTTTCCAGGTTATACATTGTTGATAAACAGCGTGAAGCACACTGCTGTTTTAAGTTCCACTGGCTCTGAAACAGGCTACCCGATGTCAAAGATAGTTATATAACAATAACACAGGACTCCGTATAATGGCATTGAAACGTAGCCCACACCTGCGATATCTGCCAGTACCTTCTCAAATGTAATACAAGGTAATACACTATACTATTGAATAATTATTGTATACTATATGAAATGACAAAAGCATGGTACAATTTACGTGTCAGCTGCATTATTAACAAAGAAAATGTCGATTATGTTGAGCAATTGCTAAGGAAAACGATTCTAAAAAACGTAATCTAGTATAAAATAGCGGATACTTATGGCTTTTAGATACGATTCCACTACGTATTGACATACATATGTAGTGGCTGAACTGACTTTTGTTATCGTAAAACCACAAATATTAACATTTGCCCTGCAACGCCACTATATGAACAAAGTAAACTTCGTTTAGGGTTATAAGACTACATGTATACAACAAAATGAGTAGTAATATGTGTCCAAAAAGCATGCAAACTATACGGAAGTCACGTTTGACTCTCGTTTAATATTTTTGGGCGAGAAGATTATTATTCTTCCATGAAAACATAGCAATATTATTTATAAAATTACATTTACTATGCTCAGTAAATAGGAATATAAACATTTGCATGGCATTGTCACTGGATAGCTGACATGGAAGTTGTATCATTGCCATGCACTAGAAACACAATTCGTAGCGTATTTATCCAACGTAAATAATTAAGACGACTGCTGAAATATTGCAGGGCATTGTAAGGCTTGACAATGTAATTGTAATGCGAAAACAAATCGAGAAAACATTAAAAACACACTTTTATTACAAGAAAAAAGAAAGACAAACATCTGTCTTACAAAATGCACATGGGATGAAATAACCAATGAAAACTAGTTTAACACTCATAGAATTTATCAAAAATATCATCTGTTACACCGCACATGTCTAACCATAACAGATTAAAACATCTTCCGAATTTTTCCTATTATATATAAGCTCATAGATGCCATACAAAAACAGTACAATGCTTAAAATGAAATGGCATCTATGAGCTTCACAAGCAGGCAAATCATAAAGCTGTGTCATTCAAATATATCATAAATACCATACAAAAACAGTACAATGATTAAAATGAAATGCTAATTCTTCAAATCAAATCTTATCATTACATATAACCAACTCGTACATATTCTATACATTTTCGAACATAACATGTTTGGTCATTTGTCTGATGAAGGTGACAGAGTACATATCTCACACGTCACCGAAACGTCACACATCAACACTGACTGGTTGTAATACATAACCTTTATACTATCCCTTACATCGTTGGTTTTCGTCAAAGTAAGTGATCGCACTCAATCATTGTATGACCTTTACTGTGTGGGCATATCAAATACCACGAAGCAGTCACATCGTAGGCATATCACGTACCACAATATAATCACATCGTGTGCAAATCACATACCACTATGTCGTTACATCGTGGACATAGCACATACCACAGTGCCGTTACATCGTAGGCTTAGAACACACCATAGTAACGTTACATCGTGGGCATAACACATACCACAATGCCGTTACATCGTAGGCATAGCACACACAATGCCGTTACATCGTAGGCTTAACACATACCACAATGCCATTACATCGTGGGCATAACAAATACCACTTTGTCGTTACATCGTGAACAAAGCACATACCACAATGACGTTACATCGTGGGCTTAGCTCATACCACAATGCCGTTACATCGTGGGCTTAGCACAGACGACAATGCCAATACATCGTGGGCTTATCACATATTGTACCACAATGGCGTTACATCGTGGGCTTATCACATACCAATATACTGTTACACCTTTGGCTTAGCACATATCACAATGCCGTTACATCGTGGACATAGCACATACCACAATGCCGTTACATCGTGGACATATCAAAAACCACAATGCCGTTACATCGTGGACATAGGACATACCACAATGCCGTTACATCGTGGGCATAGCAATACCTAAATGCCGTAACATCGTGGGCATAGCAATACCTAAATGCCGTAACATCGTGGGCATAGCAATACCACTTTGTCGTTCATTGTGGGCATAGCAAATACCACAATGCCGTTGCATCGTGGACATAACACATACCACAATGTCGTTACATCGTAGGCTTAGCACATACCCATTGCCGTCACATCGTGGGCATAGCACATACCACAATGCCGTTACATTGTGTGCTTAGCACATACCACAATGCCGTTACAGCGTGGACATAGCAAATACCACAACACCGTTACATCGTGGGCTTAGCAAATATCACAATGCCGTTACATCGTGGGCGGCTTAGCACACACCACAATGCCGTTACATCATGGACATATCATTTACCACAATGGAATCACATCTTGTGCACATCACATACCACAATGGCGTTACATCGTGTGCATATCACATACCACAATGGCGTTACATCATTGGCATATAGCAAATAACACAATGCCGTTATATCGTGGACATATTAAGAAAGAAGAGAAAAAATAAGATCCCACTTAGCACATACCTCAATGCCGTTACATCGTGGACATAACACATACCACAATTCCGTTACATCGTGGACATAACACATACCAAAATGCCGTTACATCGTGGGTCTAGCACATACCACAATGCCGTTACATCGTGGGCTTAGCACAGACCTCAATGCCGTAACATCGTGGGCTTATCCCATACTGTACCACGATGGCGTTACATCGTGGGCTTATCACATACCACAATGCCGTTACATCGTGGACATAGCACATACAACAATGCAGCTACATCGTAGACATAACACATACCACAGGCATAGCAAATACCACAATGCCATTAAATCATGGACATAGGACATACCAAAATGGCTCCATATCGTGGGCATAGCAATACCTAAATGCCGTCACATCGTGGGCATAGCACATACCTCAATGCCGTTATATCGTGGACTTAGCACATACCACAATGCCATTACATCGTGGGCTTAGCACAGACCACAATGCCGTTTCATCGTGGGCTTATCCCATACTTTTCAACAATGGCGTTACATCGTGGGTTTATCATATACCACAATGCCGTTACATTACATCGTGGGTCTAGCACATACCTCAATGCCGTTATATCGTGGACATAACACATACCAGCAATGGCGTTACATCGTGGGCATATAGCAAATACCGTTACATCGTGTACATAGCACATACCACAATGCTGTTACATCGTGGGCATAGCAATAACACAATGCAGTTACATCGTGGACATAACACATACCAGAATGTCGTTACATCATAGGCTTAGCACATACCCATTGCTGTTGCATCGTGGGCTTAGCACATACCTCAATGCCGTTATATCGTGGACATAACACATACCAAAATGCCATTACATCGTGGACATAGAACATACCACAATGCCTCTACATCGTGGGCATAGCAATAACACAATGCCGTTACATCGTGGGATTAGCACACACCACAATGCCGTTACATCATGGACATATCATTTACCACAATGGAATCACATCCTGTGCATATCACATACCAAAATGGCGTTACATCGTGGGCACAGCAAATACCACAATGCCGTTGCATCATGGACATAGCACATACCACAATACCGTTACATCGTGGGCTTAGCATATATCACAGTGCCGTTACATCGTGGACATAGAACATACCACAATGCCTCTACATCCTGGGCATAGCAATACCTAAATGCTGTACCATCGTGGGCATAGTAATACCTAAATGCCGTTATATCGTGGGCATAGCAAATACCAAAATGCCATTACATACCACAATGCCGTTACAACGTGGGCTTAGTACATACTCTACCACAATGGCGTTACATCGTCCACATAGCAGATACCATAATGCCATTAAATCGTTGGCTTAGCACATAACACAATGGTTACAGCGTGGACATAGCACATACCACAATATCGTTACATCGTGGGCTTAGCATATATCACAGTGCCGTTACATCGTGGACATAGTACATACCAAAATGACGTGACATCGTAGGCTTAGCACATACCACAATACCGTTACATCGTGGGCTTAGCATATATCACAGTGCCGTTACATCGTGGACATATCACATGCCACAATGCAGTTACATCGTAGACCTAACACATACCACAATGGCGTTACATCATTGGCCTATAGCAAATAACACAATGCCGTTATATCGTGGACATAACACATACCAGAATGTCGTTACATCATAGGCTTAGCAAATACCACAATGCCGTTACATTGTGGTATGTGCTAGGCCTACGATGTAACGGCATTTGCCCACGATGTAACGCCATTTTGGTATGTGATATGCACAGGATGTGATTCCATTGTGGTAAGTGATACGCCTACGATGTTACTGCGTTGTGGTATGTGCTATGTCCCCGATGTTACGGCATTGTGGTATGTGCTCGGACCACGATGTAACGCCATTGTGGTAGAGTATGTACTAAGCCCACGTTGTAACGGCATTGTGGTATGTGATCAGCCTACGATGTACCACAATGGCGTTACATGTTACATCGTGGGCTTAGCAAATATCACAATGCCGTTACATCGTGGAAATAGCACATCCCACAATGCCGTAACATCGTGGGCTTAGCACATATCGCAATGCCGTTACATCGTGGACATAGCTAGTACCACAGTGCCGTTACATCATTGGCTTATAACATACCACAGTAACGTTACATCGTGGGCATAGCAAATACCAAAATGCCATTACATACCACAATGCCGTTACATCATGGACATATCATTTACCACAATGGA